TCTTAATTTTTTAATTAAAACTTCTAATTTCAGTAGGTTTTCTTAAGAAAACTATTTTTAAATAATTATATGTGAAATGGGTTTCCATTTTTGCTTTGAATTCAGTTCTCCAAAGATTAGTATCTGGAAGGAGTAGCACAGCATACCCTGTGTCCTCTGGAAATGCAGAGATGGCATTTCCATCCATCTGACAGGGGTCCTGAGAAGGAGAGTCGGAATCTTTTCTATCTTGATTTGTAGCAATGCTGGTTACTCGATGTTGTTGCAAGTCCCACTTTCGAGCTACGTTGTTAATTGTTAACCTTTTCTTCTCCTGTGAAAGAGACAAGTATCACATAATGCAATTTTTAGAGCAGGAGAGTATCCAAGGAACATATTGTTTGTACCACTTATCACACTTTTAAAAGGAGTCTACTCCTTAAAAGTAGCTGCCAAATTTGTATTCTAAAACAAAGTACAAGTGGCCTTTATTTCCCCTGTGTATTCACACATTTCAATATTGGTCTATCATCCTTAAAGAAAAAACCCACTGGAGATATGAAAATTCACTATCTGAAAGTTTAACAGAAATTTATATACTTAAGTGTTATCCGAAATTTTAATTTGACAGGAATTTACATGTCTTTGTGTTTAAACACAGCAAGAAAAAAAGAGTAATATCTTAAATTTTATGACTACCTAGTAATTAGGACTAATATGGTGGAATAATTGCAACAAGGTCGACAGAAAGAGAGGGACTCATCAATGTTCCAAGCTTCATGGTGTGAATTACAACATCTGAAATTAATATATAGAGACCACGAAAAGAGGTTGTACTAGGTTGAAATATTTGTAGGAAACTAGTACCAGCTTAGATAAACAGGAAAGAAGTTAATTCATTACATGCAAATGATGCCTTAGGGAGTGGTTCTCAGACTTTGGGGTGCCTCACATTTCCTGGAGAGCTTATGAAAACACTAACTGCTGGTTCTCACCCCATTTTGAGTTAGTGTTTGGGGTGGGGTGCAAGAATCTGCATTCTAACTAGCTTCCATGTGCTGCTAATGGACCTCACCTTGAGAACCACTGGTACTCCACTGTCTCACAGAAACCTGTCCAGACAGCAGATCTGACTCCTGAAAGAAACGGCGTTTGGCTGACATGTTTCTGGTCAATGTAAATGGATGGGGGAAAACAGTCCTTATTCTGCTTAAGTCTCCATGATCAAAAGTTAACATTTTAGGGCATGTCCATTAGGTCAGAGTACTGAAAATAGACACTTTCCTCTTTATGAAGAGCACAATCACCCAATAGCAGCTCAGGGTGTGACA